CTGAGTGCTGCTAGTTGGGAGGGGGTGGGGATGAAGGAGAAGGGGAAGGGACGAGACAATACAAATTGGTAACTAGAATATGGCCTCAGGGATAGAAAAGACAGTCTGGGGAATACAATCAATAATGTTGTAAATATTTTTTAGGGGGCCAGATGGACTCATGTCTTGTTAGGGAGACCATTTCATAGTTGGTGTAGAGGCCTGACCAACGCACTGTATATCTGAAGCTGATGTTGGATAATAATGTATGTCAACTATAATTATATATACATATAGTCACGGGACGTGGAGTAGAGAGTGGGAATGGAGTCAATGGAATTATAATAGATAAGCATGATATCGGGGGTGGGAGGGCAGTAGATGGGAGAGGGGGGTTTCTGTGCGAAGGGTGAAAAGGATAACTATTGCAATATTCTGTACACCTGAAACTAACAAAAAAAATAAATTAAAAATAATTCAGTTGTTTGAAGTCATGATTTTCAGACTAATATTTATTAAGTTATTTAAAAATGTAATTGTGTTCAGATATGCCATTTACACACATTATAAGTTTAGAAAGATATGATTCTTAATTATCTTAGCTCTTATTTGATCTTGACATCTGCTTAAAGAATAAAGGTGAAAAAAGGGATCATTTCTGGCTTATTTAGTCTGCAAAATGTTCAGTCTTTTCAAAAATTAATTTTAACTGAAAAAAGGGAAGGAGTTGGTCTGCCTTGATATATAAAACGTGTTATTACTTTGTTGATGATGCTTTATGAAGTACAGGCAGTCTGAGTTTTTAAGAACAGCATTCCACCATACTGTACAGTGTTCTAGAACAATCCTGTGTGCTAAGGGTTAATTATGTTCTCAATGTATATAGGTCAAGAAACTGAGACTAGAAGTGCTCTTTGCCCAAAGGCACTCAGCTGCTAGGCAGTCAGGCGAGTTTTGAACCCAGGTCTGCCTTACTCCAAAGGCTTTCCTCCTCTATCATTCTTCCACAGAGATTAGCAAGGGAGTTAGGAAGTATAAAGTACACATTATGAATGTGTAAAAACTTAGTAAGATTTGTAAACCATGATTTCTTAAACTGTTTTTGTTCTCCATATTTCTCATTTCTCCAAAGTAATTATCACAGCACCTTTTAACATTTAAAGGGTTTTTGTGTTTGGCTTTAAAGCACCAAAATTGGGAAAATTGTGGACTGTGTCTCCCTTAGTAGTTAGTATTGACGGGTCCTAACCTCACAGCCGCTGAGCGTCCAGGGAAGAAGGCACGGTCCCTAGGATTTGTGTAAGGAGAGGAGAGCGACCACAGGGCGTCATCTGGGATTCAGAAATAATTCCAGGATATAATGTCAGGAAGCCTAGTGAGGATTCTTTTTTTTTTTTAAAGATTTTTATTGGGGAATTGGGGGGATGGGAACAGTGCTGGGGGATTGGGGAATGGGAACAGACAAGTTGCTGTTGTTTTGTTCTTCAGTCTAGTTGTGGAGGACGTTGCTTCACTTGCCCAAGTTGGCACCATCATTGCGCTCTTCCCTGGAGAGGCAGATCAGTCGCCGGCTTCTGGACGGCCGCTCACTGCGGCGGCTGGCCGCTCACGCTGGCTGCTGGCTGCTCACGCTGGCTGCTGGCTACACACGGTGGCCCATGGCAACCCACTGCCACAGGGGCTGCAGCCTACGCCATCGCCAGCGACTCACGGCAGCCCAGCTCCAGGTTGAGCTGTTGTTCAGCATCTTAGCTGTGGAGGGCAGTGTTCACTGGCCCTCATATGCGGGATCCGAACCGGGGCCCTCTGGCATCCCAAGCGAGTTCTTAACCATCGCGCCACTCGGCCGGCCCAGCTAGTGAGGATTCTTGCTTGAGAGGATGGGTACTAAATTATAGCTCTTGCTGTAGGCAGTCAGTTCCAATCTTCTCATTTTGCAAATTTGGACATAGTTTCCTCAAGATAAAATTTGTATCTCATAGATTCTTACATAGGGTGACAAAGTGAGGGCTTGATATTAAACAATTTTGGGCGGGCATTTTACAAATTAAAATATTGTGTACGTAAGACCTGACTAGATGCCCAGCTCTGTAATTTGATCAAAATAAATTATGTCAGCCTTTCTGTGTCTTTCATCACCTTGATACTTTTGAAGACTACTCATCTGGACTGTCTCAGTTTGGATTTGTCTGATGTTTCTCATGCTCAGGTTGAGACTGCTTTCCAGGGAAGGATACCACAAAGGGATGGGCCCCTCGTCAGGGCACGTGATGTCAGGATGTGTCACTGGCGATGCTAGCCTTGATCTCTTGGTGAAGGCAGCGTCTGCCAGATTTCACCACTGCCAGATTACTAGTTTTCCCTTTGCAATTACTAAAGATTTGGGAAAGATACTTTGATACTCTACAGAATATCCTGTTATTGATTGAACTTGCACTCATTTGTTTTAGCGTCCACTGGTGTATCTTGTAGGTAGCAGTTACTGCTGGGGTGTTTTAATGGTGATTTTTCTGTTTCCCTCATTCCCTCTGCATTGATTAATTGGAGTTCTTCTGTAAGGAAGAGTTCGCTCTGTCTCATATAGAAATATATAGGGACTCACGAATATTTATCATATTCTTTGGGTTATGGTTCAGGCCTGTTGCTCAAGTTGTCCCAGCTTTGGCCATTGGGCGCTTCTGGGCCCTTGTAAAATGTCCTATCTTTTTTCTTTTTTCTTTTTTTTTTTTTTAAAGCACTTCCTTACTTTCTGGCCCACACGGTGCTTCAGGCTCAGGTTATCTTGTGTTTCCCCTGGCTTATTTTCCTGATTATCAGTCCTGGCATCAGTTTTCCAAGGAACCCTCGTCCTTTTATGGGAAAGTTGTATTTAGAAGTTAATATCTGGGTGTTAGTTAGGTGTGCTTATTGCTCCTCAGGTGTCACTGGTTGTAGTCCTGCTCAGTGGATAGATTAGGAAATACATGTCCACATACTAACTCTTACATACAAAAACATTTGTTTCTGCATCTCCCTATTTGTATATATTTATATTTTAAAAGGAGATTAGATTGATACCATCAACTCAATCCATTATAGTCTTCTCCCTTTCACTCTTCTCTGATGGTGAGAAATCTGGCTCTCATTATCTACATGATGTATTTGCTTATTTGTTCAGCTCTGGTATACAAATAAAGTAGCTCCAGACTTCTAATCCAGACCCTGAGAGAAACAGATTTACCTACTAAGTACAGTGTTTGTGTACAGTTCTTATTTTTAGCATTACAATATTCAGTCAAAATTTTGTTTTCCAAAGTTACCTAGGATCAGCTTGTAAGTAATTATGTGATTCATTTGTAATATAGTTAGATTCTGTCCCAGTCTGTATTCTGTCTTTCCATATTCTGGTTGACTTTTAAAAAAAATTTACACACAGTAAATTTCACTCTTTGTGGTATACAGTTCTGTGGGTTTTGACAAGTGCATAATGTCACATACCTACCACCACAGTCTATACAGAACAGTTCTGTAACTTTAGCTGTATCCCACACTGCTCTCTCTAATCAGCTCCTCGCCCCACTCGCTTGCCCCTGGCCCACCACTGATCTTTTCCCCCTTTCTACAACTTTGTCTTTTTCAGATTAGGCACGTATTTTTTAAATCTCTCTATTAGTGATGATGGAACAGAATCAGAAGGATTAAGTGATTTATATTCTCAGAAGCAAATGTGGATTGGCCCAAATACTGATTTTAAGAAAACGAAATATTTGTTTCTTAGTATAATTTGATTACATTGGTCTCTTTTATTGAATTGCATTGTAGCTAAAGAAAAAATTACTGGAAAAAAAATGGCTTCTGTAGCTTAGAAAATAGAAAGTTATCATTGCTGTTAATTCATACTAGATGGTTTTTCCCACACCTGGAAATCATGATCTGTAGATCATTGTCTTAACATTCTCTCTTCAGCAAGAGGTACTATGTGATCTGGGATTTATAGGGTGTGCCTAAACGCAGGACTTGAATATGATTGCTGGAATCTCACTCTGGAAGAAGCCTAGATTCATAGGAGATGCAGACTATCTCGGGATATAAAAAGTTTTCTGAGGAAAAAACTTTAAACAGCCAAAGTAGATCTTGGAAAGAGTCCAACATGAATGTTCCCTATTTCAGTTTCATGATACAAAGTTTAGAGTAGTTATTTCTGGACTTAGGAGATTGGCTTATTTCAGATACTATTGTATATTTCTCTGGGGAATTTAAAACTATATAGTAGTGCCTTCATAAAACAATGACTATTATAAATAATATTCACAGAAGGAACTTCAATAATGGCATTTTTGTGCCTAGAGACAATCCACAGATTTATGTCACCCCTCCTTTTTTTAGGGAGGATGGACAGCTCTCATGTGGGCGTGTTATAAAGGCCGTACCGAAGTGGTTGAGTTGCTTCTTTCTCATGGTGCCAATCCAAGTGTCACCGGTCTGGTAAGTGTTAACAAAAAATTCATCTGGAATGTAAGTGGTAAGCTCTCTCAGGGAATACGGAAGGCTGATTAGACTTCAGAGTGGATAGAATGAGCTTCATCTTCTTAGAGCTAAGAATGAAGACTGTGATTTCAAAACACAATCAGAATTGTTTTCTCAAGCTAAACTTATTTCTCAGTTTTTATCAACACAAAGGCAACTCTTAGAGCTTAAATGTTATTTATAACCATATAACATTTCAAAAGGAGATTTTGAAATCCTTAAGTCATGTTGCCTGTTTTTTGTGGGTGTGCATTCTGAATTTGAAGTTGTTGTTTTTTCAGTGAAAAGAGACATTTACCAAATATTCCTTTGTCTGTGCATTCTTATAGATGGTAATACATGCATGGGTTTTTTACTTGAGGCTTGATCTCAGACTGCAGATTAAGACACTGTTTTATTGATGGGGGAATCCTTTCATAAGACATATGTATATACTCTAGATATCTTACAATTTTATTTGTCAATTATATCTCAGTGAAGCTGAAAAAAAGAAACTTCTGTTCAAGTGAAGGAAGGATTATATAAGGCAAATTTCACATTCCTGTTAGTCTGGCCTGTTGGCTAGATAATTATGTTAAATGTGTTGAATCTATAAAAATAAATGTGTTCATAATATATATTTATTTAAGGTTGAGTGCATCTTAGTGGCCAATTATATATTATGCGTATTATGTGTGTTTTTAAAGTGGAGAATGGTCTGTAACTTGATTTTTAGAATATTACTTTGTATTACTGTTGGTTAATTACTTTTCTTAGCAAATGTATGCTGTAAATATCCACCTAAAAGATTTTTCCCTCCCCGCCACCCCCTCGAATTCCTCCCTTCCTATCTCCCCTCCTTCCTACCCTTCTTGTCTGCTTGCCTACCTGCCTACCCATCTCCCAGCAGTACAGCGTTTACCCCATCATCTGGGCAGCAGGGAGAGGCCATGCAGACATAGTGCATCTTTTACTGCAGAATGGTGCTAAAGTCAACTGCTCCGATAAGGTAGGTCCGCAGATCTCTTCAGGCCCAGTCCATATTATGTCTACTCAGTGTGTCTCAGTCCCAAGTATTTTCATACGACCTCATGAGGCTGCTGGGACACGTCTTCTGTTTATGTATATTCATATGTTTTATATAGCTATACATCTCATAGTTGGGTCCCCTATGTTTATAATGTACTAAGTGTCCTTCCATTGTTTTTATGTCACGTTCATCATTCTCAGGAAAATAGACAGGGATGATTCTTGGTCCTCATTATTTGAATTTTTCTGTTGTAACTCTTCTGCCTACCTCCACTCCTGTCTGATTTTTGTATGTTGTTGCCAGAATGCCAGTATGTTGTTGCTTTCTAAAATTCAAGCTTAGTTATTTGTCACATGCTGAAAATCCTAAAGACACCAGTCCCTGGCATGATGTATGATGGACAGTAGGCCTTGCCTCCCTTTCTACCCTTTATTCTGTGATCTACATCCCCAAATTACCTTGCATACAGTATCTTAAGAGGCCAGTTTGTTGCAAAAGTTTCTTAGAATAGGGGAGACCTAGACCAGCTTGCAGGAAGGTGGAATAAAGAAGAAAAGACCAGTGATGTGGGAGATCATTGGGTAAGGTTCTAGATGAAACAAGGAAGCTCAGATCCAGAGTACACGTGAAGGGATTCGATGAATTAGGGATAGAGGCCAGGGTTGGAGAAAAATAGGAGAGAGAGAGTGGGGTGGTTCTGAGTGCTGACTACAGAGGTGTTTGCCAGATGTCAAGAGTCCTTCCTTTGTAATGATGAAAGGGAGATTATCTGCTGAATGGGGCATGGGGATAGCTGGCTAATGTGAAGGGGAGGAGGGCAGAGTAGCATTTATAGCATATGACCTTGTATAGTCCCGACCTATAGGAAGGATAAAGGTGAAATGCAATAGGTGTTCCAAGGATGAGCGCTCAATTACAATTATACGACGAGTGCCTGTGTATATTATCCAAGATTTTTGACTTGTAGAGTTAGGGACGGCATTTCAGCCAGAGAAAATGTTATCCACAAAGGAAGAGGCTAGAAAGGAATTTAATTCTGGGAGGATATAGGTGTAAGAATGTAGAAGTTGCGAAGGTCCTCCAGTATTCCTTATTTAGTGTCTAAGCCTGCTTCAAGGCCGTGGCTTTGACAGCTGCCTCCCTCTCACCTGTGCCTCCTCTTTGTTAGGTTCCTGCTCCCACCTGTTCTGTTGGCAGCATTGTGATTCTGGCTGTCATGAGGTCCTGTCCATCAAGGAAGAGCATCAGGGCTAAAACTTTTAACCGTTTGATTACTAGGATGTGTGATGGAATTAATGGAGTGATGCTGCCCAGTACAGTAGCCACCAGCCACATGTGGCTCTTTAGACTTAAGTCAACTAAAATAAAATTAAAAAATTCAGTTTCCTGGTCACACTTGGCACATTACTAGTGCTCAGTAGCCATAGGTGACTAGTGGCTGCTGTATTGGCTCGTGCAGAATTAGAGAGCATTCACCAACACAGAAAGTTCTATTGGACCAGGGCTGTTATAGAAAGTAGGCGTTCATTAAACGTTAACTTCAACCTACAGTCTCCCTGTAGTTGAAGGTCACTGTGGGTATTTATGTGTCTCTTGATTGCCAGAGTCCCCAACGGTAAAACATGACTTTTACGCATGATGCATATTTCCTGATGCCTTTTGAGTCATATTCCAGCAAAAGGTGCTTTAGAGTGGTTTCTAGGCTGCAGTTTATTTGGTCAGGTGTAGAGCTGATTTGGGCGGTGATGACGAGCAGACTGAAGGCAGGCTTGTTGGGTTCGTGCGTCTTGCTCCAGCTCTTAATAGCTTCGTGTCTTGGAGCCTATAACTAACTTCTCAGGGCCTCATTTGCATACCTATGGAAATGTGATATTGCGAATTGTACTTTCTTGTGATAAAGATGACATGAGTTTACATGTAAAGTAGTTAAAACTGTGTTTGGTACTTGACTGTGATTATTTTGCCTCTAGTCAGACTGTGGAACTTTATATTTCACAAGTTATGGAAAGCAGTGCAAGCTAGTTGAAAATTAGAGACTGTATGACTTTTATGATGTAAAAATTTACTCACTGATCATAAAAGTTAGAATTTGTTAAAAAATATTTCAAGCAGTGTGGTTAAGCATCTATTCAGGAGAAATGAAATGGGAAAAATGTGATTTCTCTATGATTAAAATTATGATTGGTGTAAGCACTAACCTATGAATACTCAAAGTATGATTTTTATGAAAATTCATGTTGAGAGCTCATTTCTTTGAGTCCACCTTTGGCCATTTTAAATGCACTGTTTGCTTTTATAGTATGGAACCACCCCTTTGGTTTGGGCTGCTCGGAAGGGTCATCTGGAATGTGTAAAACATTTATTGGCCACGGGAGCGGACGTTGATCAAGAAGGAGCTGTAAGTAGCTTTTCCGTTTTAACCGCCGGTGAGAGATGTGTTTTCAGTTTTAAGAGAGAGAATATCCTTTTCTTAGTATATGCCTAGAGACATGTCCATGCAGTTCTTAAATGATTCTCAGAAAAACAAGCGTTTTCTTTCTGTTACTCTGGTAAATATATCATATTACAGATGCTGTGTACTATGAATTTTTGCTCTTCAGGCTCTGTTGCTAGTGCACATAAATTTTAGGAGGCTGTAACTATAAAGACCGTTGTTCAGTAATCTCAGTGTAAAACAAAATACTCTCCAGGGTAGTTTGAAATAGAATTAATTATGGAAAAAGTTTTGCTCTATTAAAATTCCCTTTATTAAAAAATTTAAATAATACTGTGATTTTTGGATATTTTTAGCTGTGACTTATTTTCCTTCACCAATAGAGAGATGAAAAAATTTCAGAAATCAGTGGTCACAACCTAGAAAGCTTAAAAATTGGTTCAATACCTCCTCCCAACTCACAGTTCTTAATTCTTTATTAAGCACCTGCTGTGTACCCAGCCCTGTGACAAATATGCTGGGGATATTGGAGAAGCCCAACAGACTGCGTTTCCCTTGAGATTATAGAATATATAGGTAAAGGAAATGAGATTTATGCATAAGAAACAATTAATACAGGCTGTTTATATAATTGTTACGTGAGATGGTTCATAAAGGATTCTGAGAAGAGATACCACCAAATCTCTGGCTACAGTGTAACAAAGTGAACTCTAAACCATACTTGACTTAGGAGCATGCTATCAACCAGTTCCTCTTATTTTGGCAGAAGCTACTAACTGCTGACCTTCAAGGAGTATATAATGTTTTAGTGCTGTGTGGAGACAGAGCATGATTCTTAGATAACCATGGAAGACGTGCCTTTCACTTTCTTCGTTTCTGGGCAATTTATCAAGTGGATGAGTGGCTTGTCTGTATAATTACAAACTGCTCAAGAATTTTAAAAGGCTGTGTAATTTTAATATGTGAGAAAATTATGGCTTAGTTTGGGGCCTTATCTAATAACTAAAATATTTCTATAAGTAAATTATATGACGTCTCAAAATAGATCAAAACATCAAGAAACAATATTAATACTCCTTTTGGTAATGGGTCAGATTCTTCTAGGTGATTTATTGTTATCAATTAGTCGTGTAGTTTTTAAAGAAATACTAAGAATAAGAGTTTTTGAAAATGTGGTTTCTAGATCACTGTGAAAGGCAGAAGAATATATTATACTTTTACTGAAATATCCTTAGCTATTAATTCATTGTTTTACTTCAGTTTTTTACCATAGGTTTTATTATAAATAATTCTTTGAAGTCTGAAAGACCTTACTTTGGATTATTTAATTTAGAATGTGTTTAATTTTGCATCATCCTGTCACCTATTTTGTACTTCATTACATTTGTGAGAGGGTTTGTTTATTGCAAATGAGTCCAATTTCAGATTATCACTTAAAGAATTGAATGTCATAACAGCCTGTTGACTCAAGAGAATTAATATATCTTCAAAAATAGAAAATATGCCTCCTAGCCATTGTTGGTATGTTTCTGTTATTTATATTGGCATTTTATTATCAGAAGTAACTATTAACAATAGGCCACCTTTAAAAAACATCAGTTTTGGGCCGGCTGAGTGGCTCAGTTGGTTAAGAGCTCGCTCAAGAGTTTGAGCTCTGAGCAACAGCGGTTCGAGTCAGCCCGAGCTGAGCAGCCGTGAGCTGCCAACAGGTGGTGGGATGGCTCAGCTAAAAAAAAAAAATAAAAAAAACAAAAAAAACATCAGTTTTATGATTATGGCATAAATCATATGTTCTCTAGCATAGACTAATTTCTCAGGCTTGTTTCTGTATTTTAGAATTCAATGACCGCGCTTATTGTGGCAGTCAAAGGAGGATACACACAGTCAGTAAAAGAAATTCTGAAGAGGAATCCAAACGTGAATTTAACAGATAAGGATGGAAATACAGCTTTGATGATTGCGTCAAAGGAGGGCCATACCGAGATTGTGCAGGATCTACTTGATGCTGGAACTTACGTGAACATACCTGATAGGGTAGGCTACCTGCTTGTCTTCTGGTGGTGACGCTGATGGAAGATTAACTTAACTTCTCACCACTTTTAGGATTCTTCTTGCATGACATACATTTGTTTTTAGATAAGTTTTATTTCTACCTTTGGAACTAGTAAGTTAAAAACTATTCAGTCTCTGTGAAGGGTGTTCTTTTTATTTTTTGTCAAATGATATTGTTATTGAAAATGTCTCATGTACGATTAGTCTGTAACTGTCCTTGATGTCTATCACTGTAGGTGTTGTTTATGGTCCCAGGGCTTCAGGTACCAGTCTTACACTTAGAATTTTCACAATTGTATCTCCTGCTCTAACGTCTTCTCAGAACTCTGCACTTGTATAGCCAAAGTCTGTTTGAATTCTCTGCTTGAACGGACTTTTTAAACTTATGGCCAAACACATGTCTTGCTCGTTTCATTCCAAACCTGCTTTTCCCTCCGTCTTGCCCATCTCAGTAAATGCACCACCACCCACCCTGCTGTTGGCGCATTAGCCTTGATTTCTCCTCCTGCCACTTCTTCTCCAGCAGGTTCCACTGGCTCTGCCTCCAGAACATACCCGTTACGTGTCCTTTCCCCGTTGTTTCCAGTCCAAGCTGCCATCTTCTGTTGTTACAGCATTAGTATCATCATTGGCTTCTCTTGTTGGCGCTGATCTGTTCTTCACACTGTTCTCAGTAAATCTCACATGTGCTCCTTTGTTTAAAATCATCCAAGGCTTCCTCTTGCACATGGAAAGCAACTTCTTTAGTTTGTAAACTATATGACATTGTCCTTGTCCACCTCTGTCCCTATTTTGTGCTGCTCTTGGTCCTGTTTCGACAGGGTGCAGCCATATTCACTTTCTTTCCCTTTCTTGAACGCGGACCTTGTTGCTGCTTGTTGCCAGCTGTGCTGTCTGCCCTTCGTGGTCATCGTGTGGCTGGCTCCTTGTCATGCTGACCTTAGCTGCAGTATTGCCTCCTCAGAAAATTCTTCCCCAACTACCCAGCCCATAGTAGTCACCCAGCCACTTTCTATCACATCACTGCATTTTAATTTATTTGCATGGCATTTGTCTAACTTTTTGTTTGTGTTTATCATGTGTTGTCTCTTTGTCTCCTCCAGACTATTGATTCTCCCAGAGGTGGGACCTTTTCTGTCTTGTTTCCCAGTGCCTAGAATAGTGCATGGCTAATAGTAAGCAATGAAATATTTATAACTGTTTATTAATTTACTAGTCTGGACCCATCCATATTAATGCTAACATTCTCAATTAAAATTTATCTGCTTTGGGTTATTTCTGCTTCCAGTTTAGTAGTTATCATACCATGGTATTCAACTTAATAATCCTCAAGGACCTGCATCTTGATTTATAGCCCATGGAGGCCCACTCAGGGTTGAGATGAGCGCAGCTCATGGACTCACCCAACCTAAATCCCTACAACTGATTTCTAATTTAGCAGCTAAGAAAAAATTATGCACGTTGCCAAAATAATAACCATTTCTATTATTTGAAGCAGTGGGAAAGTATAATGAATAGTGATTGTTGCTTGATGACTATAACTTCAGGGCCAAGAGATGTCCTTATGAAGAATGAACTTTATCTAAGCCTTGTTCTGGGGAATGAGTCAGTCTTGTGCACTGTTGGCCTGTAACGCCAAATTGACCAGAATATGGATGCCGGTCCGAGACCAGCCTTCTCCCTTATTTAAATGTGGTTACAGAGCCACCGATGGCCCCAGCTTTACAGCTCCCTGTTTTGGAACCCATGGCATTTGTCATATAGCATTATTCCAAGGGGTTTCTATTATATAATTTCCAAATGTTCATCTGGTTTGTTGACAGCCATGGTGTCATTTTATTTAAATTACGTTTGTAATGGAATGTTATCTTTAAAGAGAATGGTTTATTATTCTGGGTGCTTTTTAAACCTTTGTCCTGGAATTCCAGAGCCCTCATTTTGAGATATAAAGTTTTCTGTCTCACTCTGAGAGCCATTGATATCAGGTATTAATATTAGTTAACTAACATTTTTGTCTTATTTAGAGATACTTTCTTTCAAGAAATTTTCATGGAAAAAAATCTATATTAATACATGATTAACCTTAACTTCTAAACTGTTTATTTGTTCTTACCATCAATTCACCTTGTTTATTGTTTTTTTTAGAGTGGGGATACTGTGTTGATTGGTGCTGTCAGAGGTGGTCACGTGGAAATTGTTCGAGCACTTCTCCAAAAATATGCTGATATAGACATTAGAGGGCAGGTATGTGTGATTACAGTGCAATTGTTATTATAACTTTCAGTATGATGGGCTGTACATGTTGACTGGTCACAATGTTATTCTTCCAACTTTTCTATGGAGACAAATTTGTAAACCCTAATGTATTTAATGGATGCCTATATTATTGTTTCACTGCCATTATTATGGGATTTCTGTATTAATGTCAAGTTAGAGTTAGATAGAAATAAACCAAAATGAAGCTTACATTTTTCAAATGGCACCTGTGTTACTAATGTATAAACATAGTCAATTCTGAAATAAATAGTTTATGATACTGAGACCATTGGTGGCACTTTGTGTGCAATTTATTTTCTTTACTACTTTCCCTCTGTTTTGTCTTCTTCATCCATATGTTGTTCTTCTGTTCCCGTTGTTTGATCTTCCTTCTGCCTTTTCCCTGCTTTGCCTGTCCTCGGGCCCCTGGGTAGTGCTTTTGGACTTGGCTTAAGGCAGTCACAGCTCAAAGGTTATTAATTTTAGGTAAAAGCTTCCCTAACTTGTTCATTTACCCAGTGTTTCAAGAGCTTTAGATTTAAAAAAATCAGTATTTAATAGACCATTTTGTTGTTGTGCAGTGTACATTTCTGCTCAGTTTTTCCTTGTATTTAGCTTGTATCTAAATCCATTTTGGAACCAAACTTGTAAACATCGTGTCAGATACTATGAGGACTTAACACGGGACCCCTGTCTGTAAGAAACAGGTACTTTAGTTAGGACGGTTTTAGTTTGTTTTGTTTATGTTCATTTTTATTTTTTACGTAAACATAAAAAGTGATTCCACTGTTGGTATATGCTGGTATATGATTGGTTGCCTAGTGAAAGGTTCAAATGTCAGAGTCTTGAGGTGGGAAAGACGGCATTAAGGAAGGCTTTGGGGAGAAGGCAGGATTTGAACTGTCTGAAAGATGGGCTGGATTCAGGGAGGCCGAGAAAAGGAAGGCTGGGTATTTCAGGCAAGGGTAGTGGAATAATAGGTTGAGGAATTTCAGGAAAATGGGGAAGTGAAAGACTGTCTTGCTTAGCTTGTGAATCAACGAGGCTGGCGGTGGGTTGGTGTGGAGGGTGCCATGGGAGATAGAGCCGGAAATAGATAGGGAGGTTAGCCAGAGAGGTTTGAACGCTAAGCTGGGGACGTTGGGAAGCTAGTGTACGTTTTTGAGAAGGGGAACTCTACTGGAGAAATTTTGGTATAAGAAAATGTGGCAGCAGGTGAGAGCGATTCACTCCCTTTTGGGTTAAAATCATGTTTTCATTAAAAGACAGTTCCGGCTCACTTACTTAGACTTTTACCGAAGTCCTCCTTGCTTGTCAATCCTATTTTCTGTGCTTAGTCAGATTATTTTGTCCTCTAGCTCTGCTTTCAAGGGCTATGTGGATCTATTTTTGGTATTTGAACTAGATAGGATTTTGAAGGATCTGATCAAGATTGGTATACTGGTGCAGGGTGGGTTGAGATTCAGAAAACTAAAAATGATAAAAACAATTCACTTTAAGTTTGCATAGCACATTCTCACGCATGATCTTTTGAAAAGATTGGGCAGGTGAAAAGCCAAGGGTCAGAATATTTATGTGACTTGTCCAAGGATACAGAGCTCAGGGACGGACGACTTCTAAGCCCACAGTCTTGAAGTCTGATCACATTACAAAAGCATACTTTACCCCTACCGACTATGTGAAGTTGCTGCTTTCTAAGTCAAGTAATATTAAGTTTTCCTAGGCTTCTTTCATAGAGAATTTCTCAAAAGTAAATCCAAGATGAATAAGGATTAATATTATTTCCCACATTGCTTGCTGCTTGTTGGTAAGATCTACTAATGCTTTCTGGCGGAAATGTTAATAACGATGTTTAATATTTACAAATAGCGGTTTTAACATTGTATCTTATCTGAAGTGATTGTTGATTTTTCTTTTTCATTATATAGGACAATAAAACTGCTTTGTATTGGGCTGTTGAGAAAGGAAATGCAACAATGGTGAGAGATATCTTACAGTGCAATCCTGACACTGAGATATGCACAAAGGTACCAACGATGTTTCCATTCTCTTAGCCATACCAAGTGCTGAATATTTTTGGGTTGTCGGAAAAGTCATGATGCATTTTTGCAATGAAAAACATAGAAAAATACGTCATGACTTTTCCGACAATCCAATAGTATTGCTTCTTTTTTAATCATCTTTGGCATTAGCATTATACTGATTTTACTGATAATATTCTTATTAAATTGAGGAGTAACTTTATATCCTTTCAGCAATTGTGTTCACAGCAAAATGCAGGGTGTAACTTATTGCGTTAGTTCAGTAAGTTCAGAAAATACAGTATTAGCTATTCATACACTGTGGCCAGACCATTTCCCCAGAATTCTCTTATGCCCCTGGTTTTGGAACACAACACATTTCCTTTTCAAAGACGGTTGTAAATGGTTATTGGTTCCCCAAACCAGCCACTGTAGTCCATTTTATTCACATCATGTGACAGTACAAAACTATATGAGATTTTAGTGATTGTATTTGGCCTTATGTATAATAGTTTCCATGGGGAAGATACATTTGTAATTCCAGATTGAAATGGAATTCTTAATGAATAAAGGAAGCATATGGAGTCACCCCTAAGACAATCCTACTCCATCTGCCGGAGGTCGGGACAAGCCTCTTTCCAAGCCATGGTGGCAACTGCAGTGCCACAGGGCACACAGCTTCCTGGGATGCCTCTGGTTTGCAGGTGGCTCTGTAGTCATCTCTTTTCTTTGCCTTTGGATCATGTATCAGCCACCATGTGGCTTCCGACCAAGTTTCTCTCTTTCCTAACTCAGTGCTGAATTGTAACCTTTTCTCATCACCCTTCATCTTATTTTGAAAGCAATCATGAACCCTTTGGAGGTTTTCCAAAGGCACACTGCTTGTATGAAACTGTTTCCCCTGTTACACACAGGTCCTTCGGGGCACAGAGAGCTGAAGTGATGCTGGTATAGATTTCACAAAAAACCTAGATACGGGCCTGTGTGGACACTGAGTGGCTGGGCTGTGCTTGGTTGGGAGGGAGGTGGTGAGGATGGGAGGTCCTCTCTGAAGGTGCTGCCCCGAAGTCAGTGGTGGCTCTGGGGAGTGGCAGCAGCAGTGGGGGCAGGGGACTGGGGCCAGAAGTGGCCGAGGAAGGAGCTAGCCACATCCCGTACTTGGCTGAGTGATAGAAACTGATTTTGATACAAATGACTGGTTGCGAAGGAAAAGCACTTTTCTTGTTGGTTTTTATAACTATGTTTTCTTGAGAACATTTTTAATGTAGACTGGTACCAGAATCAGATAGTTGAATTTTTACATGTGCGTTTACGTGATTTAAACAGTTAGGAGTAAAGCTGTTAACCTGGCAAGCTTTCTTGTCTGTGCCCCCAGGACGGTGAGACACCACTAATTAAGGCCACCAAGATGAGAAATATTGAAGTCGTGGAGCTGCTGTTGGACAAGGGAGCCAAAGTGTCTGCTGCGGATAAGGTACAGGGGACACCAGGAGGCTGCTGGTGGCCTGACGTCCATGGCTGCTGGACGTAAAAGGGGTCTGATTATATTTGGGGGAGCGAGAGATTGCTTGCTGTGGGTTTTGGCTGCTGTGGTATCTACCTGGCAGTTCCGATTGTGCTGATGAGTGGGCCGGCTTGTGGGCTCTAAAGAAGCTGCTTCAGGATTCCCTTTCATTGCTCCTGCCAATTCTGGGGAGCTGCTGTGGACCACCATCCAGGGTGGATGCCATTAGGTAGAGCTTGTTGCAGAGAAACGGGGGGAAAGACCCCAAAAGGGCTGGAGAAGACAGACCCTCAGAGCAGACGGCGTTAGTGCTGAGCCACAGGGCAGAAAGTTCGGCCACATGTCCGCACCGTTCTCATGTCAGATGGCACATCAGTATGGAGGGCAGAGCTTTCTGACAAATGGGGAAGAACGTGGGGAAATAGAACACAAACTGGTTGAGGAAGGTGGTTGGCATCACTGGACAGTAAGTATTTGGATGATGTTACTAACCTGTGGTGGGCGTGGAACCATGGCCTTCAGAGCCACGGGGGGCGGGGGGGGGGGGGGAAGACTGTTGCTTCTCCTCTTTCAGTGAGTTGAGGGGAGGGGAGAAGAATGACCTTTATTCTAAGGGCTGTGGGAGAGGAGATCATTCCTGAGAAAAGCTGGGTAAGGAACTAGAGAAAGAAATTTCAAGGAAGACAGAGATAAAAATTCATATTTAGCTATGCTATGAAAAGTTAAGATTTCCTCTTATTTTAGAGAACGTGAAAATTGTTACTCTGTATATACTGGATGTAAAAAGGTGTAAGTTCACGTTTCCTGCCACTGTTTTACAGAGAGGAGACACTCCTTTGCATATTGCTATTCGTGGGAGGAGTCGGAAACTGGCAGAACTTCTTTTAAGAAATCCCAAAGATGGAAGGTTACTTTATAGGCCCAACAAAGCAGGCGAGACTCCCTACAACATTGACTGTAGCCATCAGAAAAGTATTTTAACTCAGATATTTGGAGCCAGTAAGTACTGGGTTGTGTTCATGACTGAGCTTTTTAAAAATGAATGTTCTATGAACTATAAGAGACCAATAGCAGTTTTGCATTTGTCACTGAACTGGAGATTATAAAAGTAGAGAAGGTTATGATTTACTGTGTAAAAATCCTCCTCCCTGTCTAAAGCTCCTTTGTGTTGTATTGTAGCATTCTAAAGGAAGAACATGTGGGGTTATCAGTCAGCTTTTACAGCCTCTAAAAATCTAGCCTACTTGGGTAAGAATCTTTCCCCATTATTCTCCCAGGTGGACTTGGTGCCTTTCATCAGCCTGCTCTGTTTTCCCAGTGTGGCTCCAGCACTTATAGTTCCCTCCCTTTGCTGTGTCCTGTCCACCGCAGGTTGGGCCAGCTCCATCCCCATGAAGGTCCTTGCGTTGTTAAAAGCCATCTCTCTCCAAGTCTCCTGTCAGCTGTCTCTTTGATGATGTTTTAACTAATCTGCCTAACCAGATACAATTTTCGCCTCATTTGAATACTTAGGCACTTGTGTTTATATTTCTGTTTTTAATACTTACTATGTATAGCTTTTTATTCTGTTTCTTTTAGAATTTTCTCTCTCCAAGATTCCAAGATTCGAGGTCCTTCAGGACAAGGACTGCCTCTTCTTATCTTTGTGTCCTCTGTAACATCTGTAAAGTCTTGAGTATTGTGCTAAAATGGTTTTTCATTGAAAAGAATGCACATGAGAATGTAATCATTCATATGTGGTCTTTTGAGATATGTAGTAATTTTCTACTGGAATTAAAAAGAGATATGTTGGGCTGGCCGAGTGGTGCGCTGGTTAAGAGTTGGCGTGGGAGCGCCAGCTGTGAGCAGCAGGGCCTGGGTTCGGATCCCACATGAGGGCCAGTGACGCTGCACCCTTTACAGCTAAGATGGTGAACAACAGCTCGGAAGACATGAATATAGTAGAAAGTGCAAATTTCCCATTGTCCTCTATCTCCTAATTCATAATTGTTTGAAAGACTCTCCAGAATTTTTTTTGCATTTCTAAAAATGTTTTATACCTCGTCTATAGCTTTATAAAAATGGGGTCATACCATATTATAAAAGCTTTTATATCATATGAACTATATCATATTTTAATTGTTTCATAACCTTTCATCCTAGGTTCTAATAGTACATTCAGTTCTCTATTAATGAATATTTGGCTCGTTTTACTGAAAAGCTAGTGCTTCAGTGAACATCCTTGTGCATATATCCATTAACTCTTAATTTTAGGATTATTTTCTTGGAATAAACTCCCAGAAGTAGAGTTGGCAAGTCAGTAGATGTTCAGCGTTTTGATAGACTTTTCCAAAATGGTTGTTAACAGCCTGTCCTTCTCCCTGGGGCCACATGGGAAGGACAGTTGTTTGCAGCCTCGCTGACACTGGGTGTTTCCAGCTCCCTTCCTCTTTGCCAATCAGATCAATGTGAAGAAAGATTCATTTTCATCTGCATTATAAAATTATTAGTGAGATTGAGATTTTTCATATGTTCGTAGGCTAGTTGTATTCTTGCCATTTTTTCTCTTTGTATGCTTTGCCCACTTTTTTCCTGAGTTTTTAATATTTTTAAAAAATTGATTCAAGTCTGTTTGTATGTCATGAATATTGGTCTGGATCCAGCCTATATGTTGCGTCCCTCTCCCCAGCCCATTCGTCGTTTATGGTGATCAGGGTTTTTTATTCCCCATCCAAAGGTTAACACATTTTTGTACGTCAGTCTTTCCTTGAAGTTCTGGCTGTATTGTATTGAGAAAGAAAGGCCTTTTCCACACAGAGACTTAAAAAGCGTTTTTCTCCTAATATTTTATGGTGTCACTTTTTATATTTAATATTTTTGATGTTTCAGAAACATATTTTTTTGTTAAGGTATAAGATGTATAGTGCTTTAATTTTTATTTTTTAAACAATGGATGTCCAACTTCTTAACACTACTTACTAATTTCATCCTTTCCCCATTAATTTGAAATGCTACTTATGTCAATATCCTGTGCAAGTTCTATGATCTCATCGTAGCTTTTATTGTATATTTTGATTTTTCTCCAAAAACAACCACTCTCTGGTAGTCTTTAAAGTTTTTTCTTAGCTATTCTTACATGTTCTTGCTTTCCAGTTTTTCAAAATAGTCTCATGGATTTTGATTCGAGTCGCTTTAAAGTGATAGATTCATTTGGGGAGAATCGCTATCTTTAAGTCATTGAGCCTTTCTGCCTGGAAACATAGAATGTCTTTTTCTTGATTATCTATGATGTTCTTCAGTAACGTTTTGTAGCTTTCTGTATATAGGTATTACACCTACTAAATTTATTCCTGTGGACTAATTTGTGTATTAATCATATTGCATTGATTCTAAAGTGTACCTTGGTCCACATTTTAAAATCTCTGAAATTGGAATGTGTCTTATAGTTGAGGGGTAAGAAAGCACTGTGTTATAATTTAGCAGCATTTTTTTTTCTTAGTTGAACATAATGATGTATTTTACAATCAGTAAGGTATGTTAAGTTCTATGAAATATGGTACTAATTTAAGAATCTCTGAACCTAGTTTTACACAGGTCTCATCTTTAAAATAAGTTTTTTTCTCTGATTAAACAATAAATGAGAATTGATGTTCTTTTCTGATAGCAGTGTCTCTTTTTAATGTAAGGAAATGGTGTGTTCATAATTACAGGACACTTGTCTCCTACTGAAACGGACGGCGACATGCTGGGTTATGATTTGTACAGCAGCGCCCTGGCAGATATTCTCAGTGAGCCCACCATGCAGCCCCCCATTTGTGTGGGGCTCTATGCGCAGTGGGGAAGTGGGAAATCCTTCCTACTCAAGAAGCTGGAAGGTAAAGGACAGGTTTATATAAGAAGGTTTCGTCTGGTGTGGTTTTTCTCTTTTGAAGTAAAGAAAAAAGAGTTTTAGGTATGGGTATGTGTGTTACGGTTTACTGAATTGAAAGTATGAGGTATTTACTCCGCTGTAGTTGTTCCTCCACACAGCCAAGCTGTTTGAGTCCTCTTTCTAACACACAGACTGATTGCGTTGTATACAGAGGGTGCCAAGAAAATGCACACACTTTTTAAGAAAGGAAAAAACTATTGAAATTGTAATACTCAGTGATACTGATAACAAAAGATGAATACAAGTCACATTTGACTTCTGCAATTACAAGAGGTGCTCAAAGTGGTTACCATCAGCATCCAGACACTTCTGATTACAGCGAACTACTGCTTGAGCAACGTTGACCAAAGTGTCCACTTGTGTACATTTTTTTGGCACTCCTGGTATAACACACCTAAACCCCTTGGAACCAGAGTTTCTGCATGCACCATTTATAGTCATCATGTCCAGGACCTTCACAAACTTGTCACTTTTCATGGCCACACCTGCCAGCACTCTGTCTTGTACACTCCAGGCTCTTGCAAGAACAGACTGGACACTTTTCCTGAGCTGCTCCCTGTATTAGGAGCTCCCCAGACAGCTCTTCCCTCTCCCATCCTACACTCACACCTTTTGCTTGGCAAAATCTTACTCATTCTTCAAAGACAGGTTTCAGTATTGCCTGTAAAAGTTCTACCAAGTTTTGTAGAATGACTTGTTTAGGGTTCATTTGGGCTCAACACACACCTCTAAGAGCAGCGATTCTCAAAACGTGACTAGAAGGGATGAGATATAGTGAAGACACATAGCAAAGTAATGGTTTTCGGTTTTATATATGGAAACAATACCTTGTTGCTTGTATAATACAAACCACAGAAGATAAGTATCAACACAATCTTGACAGGTGGGACTGTCTGAGAAAGGCATTTGTGCGTCTCCCGTATGAAGCAGGAGAGTGGGTAAGAGGGGAGATGTGCCCCCAGGGAATAGCATTTTTCCATTCATCAAGAGAGCATTGGTTAAACTGGCCAGGTGGCAACATTTTATCCAGGGGCTTAGTAAGTGCCCAGTAAATGTTTATATGGAAAATATGAAAACTTCAAATTGAGTTAGGAGTCGTGCTTCTGAAACAAAGCAGGAATAATGCTTTCTCGCTTATTTCCCTTTCAGATGAAATGAAGACTTTTGCAGGACAGCAGATTGAACCTCTTTTCCAGTTCTCGTGGCTCGTAGTCTTTCTGACGCTGCTGCTTTGTGGAGGCCTTGGGCTACTGTTGGCCTTCACGGTCGACCCAAACCTTGGAGTAGCAGTGTCCCTGAGCCTCTTGGCCCTCTTATACATATTTTTTAGTAAGTCTTGCTGTTTTATCTTTTTGTAAATGTAGAAAATGCCAAGACTCATTGTTTTACTTAAAAGATTATCTATATCTCTCTCTTAGAAGCTGTGGTTTTCAAGATTAGGTTAGGAGGTCGATCTTTTGGCTGTTGTATGAGTTGGCTTAGAGGAGCGTGCCCGCAACCTGCCTGGAGCAGCTTTAAAAACGGGTGTTCTGCCTATTAATATTGATGTGGACTCTGATTTATTATACTTACCCTTTTATTGGGTTGTCGGAAAAGTCATGACGTATTTTTTCTATGTTTTTTAATTGCAAAAATGCATCATGACTTTTCTGACAACCCAATATATGTTAATTAATTATTTATATTGAAATCTTTTCTGAAAATAAGTCTTCATAGCCATCACTTGGCATGCTCTTGAGCATTTTGATCATGATTGTAATTTTTATTTTATCTAAAAATACAATAAACCGATAACATGTAATCCCTGTTCTTGGGGTGTCTTCAGGTGTAAGAAAGGAAATAGATTTACTATTAGAAGAACTGGTAACTTCAACAGTTGTAAATAGAGATAAAGCCAGTCATTTACGTTGGAATCTGAACTAAATGATACATGTCTGTATAAGGCATTATCATTATCTTTCTGATTGTGTTTCTTGTGTCAGTTTTGATCTGTGTACATTCCATTTTTGATATACCTTCTGATGTTAGGGGAGGTTAATTAATTGAGGAATTCTTTGAGGACTAGCTAGAAAACAGCGTGGGGCCGTGAAAAGCTGCATAAACCTACCTGTCATTACTTGATATTTGACTGTTTGGGGAAAGGCTGCTAGACTAATGATGGTTTTGGAAATTTTTTTTTTAATGTGAATTTCAGTTGTCATTTACTTTGGTGGACGGAGGGAAGGAGAGAGTTGGAATTGGACCTGGGTCCTCAGTACTCGATTGGCAAGGCATATTGGGTATTTGGAACTTCTCCTCAAACTGATGTTTGTGAATCCACCAGAATTGCCAGAGCAAACCACCAAAGCTTTGCCTGTGAGGTGAGTTGTCCCTTTGACAGAAATAACTTTCAATAAGATGAAGCAAAATAAAGTGTATAATGCATCATTTTTCAGTGTGCATTTCAAAAAACATGGGTCCATTGACCTATAATTTTATGTGAGAAAACAAGCAAATGTGCCCTGGCCAAATACATTGGGAAACATTCATACTATATCTTCCTCTTGTGCATTAAAGGGTCAGACACCTTTCCAGAAAGAAATGTGTTTAACTTTGGTTTACCAGATTTATTTGAGCACAAACGTTTTTCCCTCCTCACCCCTCATGACACCTGCTGTCATCCTTAGAAAGCACTTTGTAAAGAGTGCTGGATCATAACCTTAGCAACTCAGCTCCAGCTCCGACCCGCTCCTCCCCCATCTATGGGAAAATATTTACCCGCCTGTGCAAAATTATTGTTACAGCAAATAGGAAATGTATGAGAAAACAGTTCAGAAAGATGAAAAAAAATGTATGCCAAGGAGTAAAGGAAAGGTTCAGGGCTCCAGAGGAAAGTAAAATGAAAAAAAAAAAAAAGGTTAGAGAACTGAAAGCAAAAAGAACTCAATAGAAATAAGCAAAATAATGAAATTTCATAAGATAAAATATGTATAATTCAAGATGAAAGTAAATAGGCTGAACCACATAAAACATCACAACTATAATATATAAAAAATGAAGATAAAAGCTTCAAGTAATAGATAAGTATTAAGAAAATAATTTAAAAATGGAAAATTACGATGAAAAAGCTAAAAAGGAAACATACAGAGTAGAATAAAATAATTGGGGAAAGTATTTTTACGGAAAATAAAAACATTTTAAATGATTGAGATGGTTTTTAAAAACAAATTAGAACATAAATCAGATGGAGAAAGACAAATACCATATGATCTCACTTATGTGGAATCTAAAGAACAGAATAAATGAGCAAACTAAACAGAAATAGACTCAGAGAGATAGAGAAAAAAATGATGGTTGCTAGATGGGAGGGGGGTGGGAATGGGGGGGAAAGTAAAGGGATGGGGGAAGTACAAATTAGTAGTCACGATATTGCCACGGGGATATGAAAGAAAGTTTGGGGAATATAATCAGTAATGTTGTAAAGATTTTGTAGGGTGTCAGATGGGCACTTGTCCACTTCATGGACTGCGTAGATGCCTGACCACTGTGCTGTACACCTGAAGCTGAATAATATTGAATGTCAGCTATAATTTTTTTTTTTTGTGTGTGTGTGTGTGTGTGTGTGTGTATGTATATATGGTCATAGGATTTGGAGTACAGCATAGGGAATAGAGTCAATGGAACTGTAACAGCTATAGATGATGTCAGAGGGGTGATAAACTGGACGAGGGGGGGTTATCACTTTGTGAGATGTGTAAATGTCTAACTATTACATTGTTTTGTACACCTGAAACTAATAATAATTTTAAAAAGCTATATAAAAAAAGAACAATTAAAATAGCCTAAATCAACACCGCACAACATAGTACAGAATGATCCCAGATTGTAATATTTCAAAAGCCCTGTTTTTCTACTGGATTAAGATGAGAGTTTATTTAGGGATGGAAGGGGAGAAAGGAGTTAATGAAGAAATAATATCTATTCAGAGGCTCAAAATACAATTAACTGAGTTATTTCAAAGAACAACTGTGAAGAGAATATTTTACAACTTATTTCTAAACCCCTAGTAGATGTTTCAGCTATGTATAAGACATTCTAGAACTTGAGTTTTTAAATGGCATTAAATTCTTGGGACCGGCCGAGTGGCACGTTGGTTAAGAGCTGGCTTGGGACGCCAGCTCTGAGCAGCGGGGCCCTGGTTCGGATCCCACATGGGGCCAGTGACACTGCCCTCTACAGCTCAGATGGTGAACAACAGCTCAACCTGGAGCTGGGCGGCCGTGAGTCGCTGGTGACGACGCAGGCTGCAGCCCCTGCTGCGGTGGGCTGCCATAAGCTACCATGAGTGGCCGGCAGCCAGTGTGAGCGGCCAGCAGCCGGTGTGAGCTGCCAAGAGCCGCCATGAGCCGGCGACGGATCTGCCTCACCCGGGAAGAGTGCAATGGTAATACCCACATGGGCCAGTGAAGCAATGTCCTCCACAACTAGACTGAAGAACAAAAGGACAGCAACTTGTCTGTTCCCCTCCTCCAATTCCCCAATGAAATCTTTAAAAAATAATAATAATAAATGGAATTAAATTCTTACTGACTATGTTTTTTCAAGGACCTAATCTTTTCAGTTGGTATTATACTTAGAAAACTTTCCTCAAGTGCAGCTTTTGTTTTGCATCCTGCTGTGGGGTGCCACCTTTTAATCGCTATATCATGAGATCTGTTGAGATGTCTGATTCCTTGTCTAAACTCTGTCATAACTTTGTCCCCTGCTGCCTTTAGTCAGAATTACTTCATGTAACTCTTGCGTTTAACATTTGCTATTGTAAAATGTTAGAAGTGGAAGATACCTACCTAATTCCAATTTCTTTTCCCTACTTAGAATTTTAAAAACAATAGTTTGAAAGAGACATAAAGAAAATATATAGTAAATGACACAGAGATGATGTATGTTGAAACGGTTTCCTTAGAGACGAGTAATGTTTTATTTCCCCTCTCCCCAAGGTTCTTGTTTACAGATTACAATCGGCTGTCCAGTGTAGGTGGAGAAACATCGATGGCGGAAATGATCGCGACCCTGTCAGATGCTTGTGAGAGGGAATTTGGCTTTTTGGCAACTAGGCTTTTTCGAGTATTCAAGACTGAAGATACACAGGGTAGGGCTTCCTTCTGCTTCTTTGTGTGTGTAGGATTCAGGGTTGGATGAAAACATGAATTGAACATCAGATTTGTCATATGCCGCCACTGTACTCATTAGGAATTTCTAGATCCTTGATATGTAACTAATTGTTAAAACCATTCGCTGTGTTTACAGGTAAAAAGAAATGGAAAAAAACGTGCTGTCTCCCATCTTTTGTCATCTTCCTCTTTATCTTTGGCTGCATTATTGCTGGAATCACTCTTCTGGCGATATTCCGAGTTGACCCAAGACATCTGACAATCAATGCTGTCCTCATCTCAATTGCGTCTATCGTGGGGTTGGCCTTCGTGCTGAACTGTCGTACCTGGTGGCAGGTGCTGGACTCTCTCTTGAATTCTCAAAGGAAACGTCTCCATAGTGCTGCCTCCAAGCTGCACAAATTGAAAAGCGAAGGATTCATGAAAGTAAGCTCTCACCGGTTATCAGAACACAAGTGTAATTGACGACTGTGCTCATGTGGGTGGAAGGGCATGTACTCGCTACATGTAAATGTTGCATTGGTTTTTAGGTTTAGTGCAGATTTTTTTCTGTGCAAATATGTATTAGAAGTGGAAAAAGTTATAACGATAACATGTTTTTATAAAATAGACGTTTATAAGCTACTCGAAGGAGTTAGCAGATTGATTAGTCCACAGGTGGGAATGCCTGTCTAATAATGAAGCTTCCTCTAAGACAGCGGTTCTCAACCTTCCTAATGCCGCGACCCCTTAATACAGTTCTCATGTTGTGGTGACCCCCAAGCATAAAATTATTTTTGTTGCTACTCTATAAGTGTAATTTTGCTACTGTTACAAATCGTAATGTAAATATCTTTTTGTTTTGCCATGGTCTTAGGCGACCCCTGTGAAAGGGTCGTTCGACCCCCAAAGGGGTCGCGACCCACAGGTTGAGAACCACTGCTGTAGAGCCTGGTAGAGTAAGGGAATTGAACCACCAAAACATGAAATAGGATCATGCCTTTAGAACCAGAAGGGACTGTGTACGGTATGGGTACACAATACCTTTGATCAAGGTCAAGTCCCATCAGAGAACCAGCCGTAGTGTGGTGTTTGGATCGTTTAGATTTGCACTTAAATCCTAGTCTTTTGGCAGTCAGAGCAATGTGATCTGGGCCAGTAAGTCAACCAACCTAGTTAAAGAACTAGAAAGAAATGGATGTACCAGTGTCACCTCATTGTGAGGGCGAAAGGCTCCAGTTTCTGGCAAGTCACCTTGTAAGTTGCAAAGCACTCGCTATAGTTTTAAGTGGCACGGTAACTGGCAGTGAGGACTTTGGACTTCTTTGCTTCCCGGTAGATGGCTTTCCGTCAGCTGTTTACCAAAGGTGCTAAACTTCCTCCTGTCGTCAGTGCCGTCTGTCTTTCCTTTCCCACAGGTTCTTAAGTGTGAAGTGGAATTGATGGCGAAGATGGCAAAGACCATCGACAGCTTCACTCAGAACCAGACGAGGCTGGTGGTGATCACTGACGGGCTGGATGCCTGTGAGCAGGACCGAGTGTTGCACATGCTGGACACCGTACGTCCTGGAGCTTGTCGCTGTTGCCTGGGTGGCGTTCAGAGGAAGGGCTGCATGAGCATATCAAGTGGAATTTGAGTAGTCCTTTGGTTTTCTAAAAACAGTTTTTTCATGCAGAGACACAACAAGAGTAAATGTTGCATCGCAAACAGATTTAAACAATTTTAGCTTCACGGCAGTGTGTGGAGAAAATGAAAAATTAGTAGCTCTAAAGACCATAGTGTAGTGTGACTCCAGCTTTTCTCTGCAGTAGTTCTGGTTAGAATCACAGATAAAAGTAGGGAGCCCACAGCATTTGTAGGGTTTTCTGTTAAAGTAGGGCACTTTGTGGCTCTCTGTAAGGTGTGTCGTAAGCAACAGTATAACTGGGCAGAGACCATTGTGCCCAGTACCTCACGTATATTCATGAATGTTTCACATGTATATTGATCTTACCTCTTATGTCGACCATTATGTCTCTAAATAGGGCAGGATTAATCACTGTCAGATGGTGAAAAATTGTCAGGTGGTGAAAAACCAGATTGAGATTTCAATAAAATTTATTTTCATATAGAATTATATTTTGATGAAACATAGTTTTTAAAAATATAGTCAACAAAGGATAACACAGATTTTGAAGAGAATTTTTATTACATTGGATAGTTTAAAATCGATGTCATAAACGTGCACTTATTCTTCTACAGGTGCGAGTTCTGTTTTCAAAAGGCCCATTCATTGCCATCTTTGCAAGTGATCCACATATTATCATAAAGGCCATTAACCAGAACCTCAATAGCGTGCTCCGTGACTCCAACATCAATGGCCATGACTACATGCGCAACATAGTTCATTTGCCTGTTTTCCTTAATAGTCGTGGACTAAGCAATGCAAGGAAATTTCTTGTAACTTCAACAACAAATGGGGACATTGCGTGCTCAGATACTACAGGTAAAGGTGAAGTCTTCAGGTACTTTGGGGTCGAAGTGGTTTTCTAGTTTTTTTATGGTGACTCACCACCATCTACCTTGAAAAATATTGTTGGTAGTTCACTTCTCTTTAAATATGTACAACAGAGTTTTAGTACAAATGGTGCTCTTGATACATCTTTAAGGGATGCAGGAAGATGCTGACAGAAGAGTTTCCCAAAACAGCCTTGGAGAGATGACAAAACTCGGTAGCAAGACAGCCCTCAATAGACGGGTAAGATGTCATTTGTTTTGAGTCACGTTCGTATTGCTGTTATTCAAATAACACTAAGGTGATGTCACTTAAGAAATCTTTCGTAAATACTGGACTAAGCTCATCAAATAAACTTGACGACTGCATTTCCTCCAGCTTCAGTGGATTTTCAGGGAATGTCTGAACCTGCAGCTGTGACTCTAGGAGTCCCTGTCCTCTCCCAGCCCGTTCTCAGCCCAAGTGCTGCCCAGACCTCAGACCAACTGACCAGATTCTCTGAGAGGGAGGTTGTGACGCTCCCCACGGATGTCACCCAGCATTGAGAAGCACTGTGCTCATCCCAGGTCAGGCTGTCCTCATTCCAGGCGCCTGCTGCACCGTAGCTGTAAGGGGGAAAGAGGCTGGGAATGTGAGGACAGCCACTTGCTTTCTCTTCCCATTAGCCTCCTCCTAATGTTTGCGACGCGTGACTCTTCTGTACCCACACAGTGATTTGGGGCCCCTCCCAGCCACTTTGGCATTCTCCTGGGACACTCTAGTTGTCCCTGTCCCACCCCATTCCTAGAACAGGGAGTATTACAAGTCAGGAAGATGTCCGCTGGCAGGTAAGCTATGGTGATCGTGCCGCTTAAGGATGGTAGGGTTGGGCTAGCATTGGCACTGTTTTTTTCCCTAGTTTGTTACCATTAAATTTGGACATTTTACAGTTAGCAAATGTATCTTCACTAACATTTTAACATTCTGATGTTATGCCTCCCCCCTATACGAGTATGGATGCAAATTTAATGTTGCGAATGACAATTGGTAGCACTGAGTTAAGAGGAGGGTGTGATTTACCGTTTTGAATTTGTCTCCCGGGAGCCCAACTCTTGGTCTCGCTGTGGCCGTCGCCACCATTCCCTGCGTCCAGGGCCTTTGGTGAGGACGCACCTTTGTGTGCCTGTCCCTCCTGCGATTAGGTGGGTCCACTACCCTGCCTTGACCAATGAAGTGCCTCTCATGTAGTTTAGTTAATTTAGTGCATTTGATACAGATGTGAGGATAGTTGGAGCCTCTGTGCCTTTTAGGTAGTTGTCACACATTAAAAAACAACCCAGTAACTAAAATGCTGAATTTTTAAAACTAGACAAGGAGTTATTGCTTTATTATTTCAGGGTTCATAGAAATACTTGAGCTTCTATGAGAGTTTGAATTGAATTCTCTTTATATAATTCTGCTTACTTATAATCTTCAATGCATTGAGCTTTCTCTGACTGTCCAACTGTAAATCTATCTGAAGCTAAACCACAGCATTTGATGCAGTTGCTGCTGACTCCTTTATAACTGTTCCGTAAGGCTCTGCCTCAGGGAATACTGCTACGGCTCTTTATTACATGATCTTCCTCCTTGACGGAAATGTTAGATTTGTTGCTGTTGTAAGACAGCCTTCAGTTCTCAGACTTGGAGCTTGGGTTTGTTCTCATGGACGACACACCCTTTCAGGACACGTACCGGAGAAGGCAGATGCAGCGGACTATCACCCGGCAGATGTCCTTTGACCTGACCAAACTGCTGGTGACGGAGGACTGGTTCAGCGACATAAGTCCTCAGACCATGCGAAGATTACTTAACATCGTTTCTGTGACAGGTGACTTCTGTTTCTCACTCTCTGTGGTAGACACTAAGGTTTAACATTAGCAAAGCAAATTCAGTTTCAGAAACCAAAGGATGCACTGTTTACACTGCTGAATACCAGTGTTATTTGCATTACGTGTATCTAATGAAACCAACGTTGGTTTTCACAACCAAAATCAACTGTCAGTTGTGCACTGTTATTTTAAAACTTGATGATTTTTAAAAAAATTCTTTGATTTCATCTTAGGTTTAATTGGTTTGAAGGCTGGACCCTGTCACTGATCTGGCAGACCAGACCCCACTTTCCAAGGAAAGAAGAACCCAGTGCTGACAGTGCAGTTTGCATGTCTAAGCAGATTTGCTGGGGGGTGAGGCTCTGAGGACAGGACAAGAATTGGATGGGAGGATTATGTACAACTGTTAGTAGTAAGGAAAGGGGGAATTCATATTTGAACCAAAGCAAATAGATCTTAATCTAGATATAAGCTAAACGGATAATGGTCAAGTAAAACTGACAGTGTTTAAAATGAAAAAGCAACAGTATCAGCAGTTCAGAATCCCAACAAAATCAAGGAAAAAATGATAAAACAGTGAAACAAGGCTCAGTTTTAAAAGTTTGTGGATTGCAACTGTCTACATGTAAGCATGCCCGGTGTCAGAACACTGAATTAGGGTCCTCGGAAAACCCCAGGGACAGACAGGATTTTATAAAACACATAAACAGCTTTTATCAACACATTATAACTCACCTGGTAGGTTACTTACGTTGGTTGCCCTTAGTATCTAAAAATGAAAATGTGTGGGATTGCACATTCAATGAAACAGGAATGGACCAGCACATTTGGACATGTTTAGGTCCATCAGCAGGCTCGTGGGCGGTCCTTGGGAGGGTGGGGCCCACCAGGGGTGCACTGAGGTTCTGTGTGATTGTGGGCGGTGCCCAGACGGACACACAGTTCTGAAAGATGTTTGCCTGTGTGTATGTGGTCAAAGCAGTGGACAACACCAGTGGCAATCACACAGAAATTTAGAATTAAACGGAATTGGGTTTAAGCCCTAGAAGCTTTCCAGTACAGCTCTTTGGATTAGAGAAGCCATATAAATAAATAAATACTAGGTTTGAATTTGTTGTGCAAGTTTTACAGGGAAATTATTTGTGAATATACTAAATGTTTTGCTTGACATAACATTGCACATCTATTGATTTAAAATGGTTTTGTATTCCTTAAAGGGCGATTATTGAGAGCCAATCAGATTAGCTTCAACTGGGACCGGCTTGCCAGCTGGATCAACCTCACCGAGCAGTGGCCGTACCGCACCTCGTGGCTCATCTTGTATCTGGAAGAGACAGAAGGCGTTCCAGATCAGATGACGTTAAAGGCCATCTATGAAAGGTACTCTGTCTGAGCGCTTTATGTTCCACTTCGTCTTAGATTGAGTTAGCTTTTTAGAAAAGAGTTTATGCATATAAAGCAAAGCAAATACAAAATAATATGTACTATTAATGTGTACACTTCTGGATGCAACTAATCATTCTCATTAATTCCATTGTAATTTTCAAGTTTATTAGCACAACTATATATATCTCATCATAAAATTTACAGCTGTATTTGGATATATTCTTCCCTTTTCAGTGTAACCTATGTAAGAAAATGTTTAGTAGTCTTATTGGCTTTATGTATTTGTATGTATGAAATGTAACGCTTAAAACATTATTATTTCCATTTTGTTTTTTATTCTAATTGTCTTCATAGAATCTTAAGAAGGTTATATTTTCCACATCATTAGTGCAGGTATTTTCTCAGCTTTATATCTGCAGGGTTTGGGGACTGAATACTGGCTGGAAACATTCTTTTATTTAAAGATTTTATTGGGGAATTGGGGAAGGGAACAGTGTTGGGGAATTGGGGAAGGGGAACATTGTGTTTTCCAGGACCCATCAGCTCCAAGTCAAGTTGTTGTCCTTCTATCTTAGTTGTGCAGGGCACAACTCAGCTCCAAATCCAGTCACCACTTTCAGTCTAGTTGAGGGGCCGGGGGGCAGGGTGCAGCCCACCATCCCATGCAGGAGTCTAACTGGCAACCTTGTTGTTAGGAGCATGTGCTCTCACCAGCTGAGCCATTCAGCCACCCGTTGGCAGCTCAGTGGCAGCTCAACTCGGGCACGGCTCACTGGCCCATGTGGGAATCGAACTGGTGACCCTGTTGCTCAATGCTCACGCTCTAACCAACTACGTTACCCGGCCAGCCCTGGAAAACATTCTTTGCATTAAACAATAAAGGAATTCATTATTTTTTTCAGTCAGTCATTTGAACTACTTTTAAAATTTCTACTTCTGATAAAGGAATTGATTACATTTTTTTCTTGAAAGACATGCAGCGAAGGCTCAGTGAAATGTCAAGTATGTAAAGTTGTAAGTTACCAATTTATTGTCAAATTCAGAAATAAAATTGCAGTCCTTTTTGTTTACCAGAAAACATAATACCTTCAAAGTTGTCAATTGCTACTCTAAATAAACTCTCTCTTAGAAAAAATACAAGAGAACTGTACACACAATTTTATAAAACTTGGTAAAATTAAAACTGTTTTGAACATGTAAATGAAATATTAAATCTAACAAAACTAGTACATGGCTCATATATTAAAAAAGATTCAAATAACTTTTCTTAGACTGTAGTCAGCATGTGGTTTTCCTTATTTTCCAATCCCCATTTTTCACGTATATATTTTATTTAGTATTTTCTAGGTAAATAACTAGTTTTAGAATTATGCAGGATGGTTGTAGTATTAGTCTAGATTTTGCTTGATTTTGCTGTTGAATTTATGCTCAGTTAGATCAGTTGTTTTAAACTATGTGTGCTGTACCAAGTAGGTGTTCCAGCACATGACAGTGAGCCATCATTACCAAAGGTCTTGAGCGAAGGGCGCTGAAGTACGTCTGCTCTTTGACATTTTAGAAATCATCTTATTATGAAATACATGATTGGTTATTCCCTTGATTGTGTAGTCAGATATTAGTTTATGAATAAATGTTTGCATCATAACATTGGGACTGTGTAATTATGCATGTTTGCTAGATGAGCACAGTTGTTATTAAGCAGTTAAAATCTAACTTTTTAAAAGTTTTAACTTGTTAATAATAAATCATACCAATATAATAGGACTTGTTTTTCACATGGTAGTTTTACATAAAGCCCTAATTAGCGTAGACAGGTAGTCCTTTGACACCTCATTTTATCCCTGAGAAATTGTTGTTACTTTTGTGTAAATACAAATATGTTAGAGGAAAGGATAAGCCTTCATTGAGGAATTATGAACTGGACTCTTAGAGTTCGTTTTGCCTGAGTTGGTATTGTTCTTAGAGTAGTATATTTGGTTTCAAAAAAGGTGAAAACGTGGAAACAGGAAAGCTGGTTGTGTCACCGGGTCCTTGTCTGAGGAGGAGAGGTTGATTAGCATTAGTTAGTGTTTTCTCCTTTTGGCTTAAGTATCCCCAACCTTTCTTCCTCAAGGCCAGGCTCTCTGCTGGGCACCTTAGGGTACTCAGGAACATTTGTAAAGCTCAGAGAGGTGGTTAGAAGGGTCCATGTTATTAACAAGGGAGATGTGACTCCGAAAGTTTAAGTAACTTCACAGAGTCTCAGTTCCTAAGGAGCAGAGCTCTTTCAATCTGGGTGTCTCAGACTCCATGAACTACTTATGTGCCTGTCACTTTTCTAAACAAAAGCAGCTAACCTATTAAGCATACACTGCTGTCATATATTATTTTTCTACAATTTTTTGACTTCATAAAAACAAGTTTTCCTATTTAAACTATTAATATTATCACCTTTTTCAGTTTATCTTCCTTTTTCTCATCTATCTGTCTATCTATCTATCTATCTATCTATCTATCTATCTATCTATCTCTCATCTGTCTTATAACAGAGTAAATAGTCCATGTCAGTCTTTGATTTTGGTATAGAATAGGACTCTTTCCTTTAATTAAATATGACGCTTAGAAGTATACTGTGTCTTAGAAGTATACTGTGTCTCAGGGTTCCAGAAATATTGATCAGTTGTCACAGTTCAAGGACTGTGTGCTTGGAGTCCGAAGCACTGGGGCCCCCCGCACGATCTGTGAAGAGGGTGGGCGGTGGTGAAAGAGAGTCTGCCTCAGGAGATAAGCAGGCGAGATGTGAAAATAAAGGATTTCTAAAGTCCTTTAAAAAATTCGTATTTCAGTTCAGTCCAACACAGCTTTATTATACGTCTACCATTTGGGCGCCCTGCTGCTATGCTAGATACTAGGGATATAATGATGAGCAAGTACATACGTTTACTTTTCAATCTGACAGTGCCTCGCAGAATTTTCCTCTGGACAGTGGTCGTACAGGTTATTTATCGTGACCTTATCTGTAGCAGCATAACTTACATGCACATTTATAGGAACACTGGTTGAATAAATTGTGGCACGTTTACCGTAATAAAATATTTTGTAACTGTAGAAAAGAATGAGGAAAAACTCCATAATTTGATATGAAGGAATTCCCAGGATATATTATTAAGTGAAAAATGCCAAGTGCAAAGAGTATATAACATGCCACTGTTTGTGTAAGAAAGAAGGCAGAATAAGAACATCATATATAAATATCTAGGTATGTATTCTTTTTCTGTAAAAATATAAGATGGGGGCCGGCCGAGTGGCTCAGTTGGTTAAGAGCTCGCTCAAGCCTGTGAGCTCTGAGCAACAGCAGTTCGAGTCCCGGCCTGAGCTGAGCTGCCAACAGGTGCTCAGCTAAAAAAAAAATTAAAAAAATAAAAAATAAAATAAAATAAGATAAACCCACAGGACGGTAAACCAGAAACTAATGAAAATGTTTACCTGTAGAAGATGCTTAGATGAGGAATGACGTGTACGTTTTTATGCAGTTTGGCTTTCAAATCATATTAAAAAAATAAAGCTAGCAAGGATGGAAAAAAGCGAACTATAATATTTACTATAAACAGAAATTATCCTAAGTATTTATGAAATCAATACTATACCTATACAGAGAAAATAATCAATTCAAGCACCTTTCAACTCAGTATTCTGACTCTTATTTTTAGTAGAATATATTCTGAGGACAAAATTAACTGCAGAGAAATCTTGAACTTAGTAGGTTTGTTGTTGGTAATAGTATTGTTGTTATACTTCTGAAATCCTTTTCAGTGTATCATAGGGTAGAGTAAGTGAATAAATATTAATAGATATTTTGGGGAACCTGTTATTTTCTACCCAGTGGATTCATACCAGTGTATCTCCAACCAGGGAGATACAAATATTGAATGAAAGAAATTAAAGATGAGCACTATAGAATTAGATTGGATTTGGAGATATTAAAGATTAACTCATAATTTTTAATGCAATTTCTCTTAGCTTTGTCCACTGAAAGGGCCTAGAAGCGGAAATAGCCCAAACTTGTGAGCTTACCTGGAGCCTAGATCTTGGTTTCTGGGACCAGGACTTCTTGGAGAAACAGCTAATTCCAGGACTCAGGTGGGGAAGGCTCAAGGCGGGCCTGTGTAGTTGTGCCAGAAAGGAAGGAAGGAGGGCTTCAAATACAGTGGGGTCTGGACAGAGGGCACAGGCCCTTGCTTGAAGGGGCACCTTTCACATTGGGGCCAACTTGAGCATCACAAAGAAACCTGGTAGCAATGGATTATAACATTGAAAAAAAAAATCCAAGTGTCCTTAGTGATACTTAGAAGAGAGGGAAAAAAGGAATAGTTTGTGTTTAAATCAGAGGAGAATGCCAGCTAATAAAGGTGGAAGGAATGAGTGACATAGAAAAATCACCGTTTTTAACCCCCACTATGATAATTGATTTAAGTGGACCCTCCGTGGTTTTGAAATCCATTGGGTGGACAGGATGCTCACATAGCCTCAAAATATCACTTCTCAGATTTCTTGTAATTCCAAAGAGGAAAGGCCCTTACAGTGGAGACAGCTGGCTGGCACCACATCTTTAATCAATTGGTCAAGCCTGACGTCTTTCATGGGATGCATGACATCATACACCTCTAGATAAAATGCAGTTAAGTAGAAGGTATCGCATTACCTGTGTGGCAGTGTTGCCAGAAATGTTTTTCTGTGATTCTAACGTGAGGAAACAGCCAGGTGAATCCAGAGTGTGGAACATTCTACAGGACAGCTGGCTTGAATTCCATACTGACCGCTGGGGGAGACTAATGCAACATATGAATTGTGACTGGAATCTGTATCAGAAGATACATACTGAAGGACATTTTGGGGGTAATTTTGGGAATTTGAGTTTTTAAACCAATGTTTATTTCCTTAGGTGTGATAGTGGTGTTTTAGGGAGATATGTGCTGAAGTATTTAGGTGTGAAATGCACCTTTAGATGGTTTGGC